ATTCAGGTGCAACTATTTATGTTGTAAATTCATTATAGGGATTCTATATGAGGAGGACCCTGCAAAGAAGAGAAAGACACATTAAGGTAGCAAATGGAGTCAAAGTTGAAGTTGAAGCCATTGGAGAACTCCCATTAGAATTAAATGATGGCTTTGTACTTAAGCTTACAAATGTCCTTTATGTACCCTCTTTGTATAGAAACTTAATAAGTGTTTTACGTTTAGACGATGATGGATTTGATTGCCATTCTGGAAATGGACAATGTAAGATTATGTTTAATCATAAGTGTGTTGGTATTGCCTTCCGACAAGATGAGCTTTATTTGTTATCACTTTGTGAGAATATGAATGTTGCGAGCACTAAAAATGAAAATGTCTCCTCATCTATGAATGTAGGTAATAAGCAGAAGAGAATTCATGATATATCATCGAAATTATGGCACTGTCGTTTAGGCCATATTTTGAGGGGAGGATAGAACGACTGATTAAGAAATTAATTCTTCCGCCATTAGAATTTTCAGACTTAAAACAATGCATTGATTGCATTAAAGGAAAGTATGTTAAGAAAATAAAGAAAGACGCCAAACGAAGCGTAGGAATTTTGAAAATAATTCACATAGATATCTGTGGTCCATTTCCTGTGAAAAGTGTGGATGGTTATGATTCATTTATAACATTCACAGATGATTATTCTTGTTATGGCTATATTACCACCGCCACTGGACCGCCGTCACTAGACACCGTCGCCATGGCCACCTCCTCCACCAAGCCCGATGGTCTGCCTCTCTACATTCCTCTCTCTCCCTCTAGTTCTCTCTCTAGGACGATCTACTTGTTTATTCCGAAAGTAAGAGAAATCACCCACTGATCTACGCCTAGATGATCATAGAATTCTAACAAGAAAATCTCATCCAAGGACAAAAATCGCCAACACTCAGGACCTTCAGTACCAGTTGTTTTTAGTGCTGGGTCTGTCATTCGTTCCTGCTCTTGTTGGAAACTAAGGTCACCCATTTTATTCAGATTTTATCATATTCATCTCACCACCTACCATATCTAGCCGATCCAATCTAACAGGAATATTTGTTCAATTACATGTTCACATTCAGATGATTATAAAAGGTTTTCATTTCATTTCCAGCCGGAACAAGAGTATACAAGACAGCAACTACTCCAATGAACAACATATGCATTTTTTTTTTGAAAAGGAATATATTAATATAATAGCTTCTGCATCAACTAATGCATATAGATGTTCCTTATTACACACACAAGCACAAGGGTCCACGCAATCTCAAAAACAAAGTTTTGATCAAAAAAGGAAGAAGGTAAAGTTTCCCAAATAAAGCAACATCTAAAACGTAATTCTATTACTGAATCTCCATCCGTTTCTTGCAAACACCTCCATCGTGGTTGTCTCAATCTTCCTGCAACCCATCTTCATCATTTGGCGATCCTCCTCCTTCAGAAGTAGGGACCAAAACCTGATCCAGTAAGTCCCCCCTGAAGATAACCTGCAAATAAGATGGTGCTAGGACCTTGTCAAAAACTATGTCATTCCGGGTTAACCATATTACCCAGCAAATTACACTCGCACCCACAAGAATTTTGGATTTCAGCTTCCTATTAAACCCATGTAACCAGTCTGTAAACATATTGTGCACACTAGTTGAATTATTAAATTAAAGGAGATATGAATAGTTCACCACACAAATTTAGCAAAATGACAATCAAAGAGCAGATGTTGTATGGACTCCTCAGATGAACAAAAACAACACTTCCTGTCTCCTTACCACTGTCGTCTTGCTAAATTGTCTTTTGTTAAAATTACTCCCTTGTACAAATACTAAAAAAGACTTTGATTTTAAGAGGTAGTTTTAGTTTCCATATTAAAGTGTTATAAGGTATAGCTTCAGATCCTAATAAGGCTATGTACATGGATTTTACTGAAAAGAATCCATTCTGATGTAGCCCCCACACAACACGATCCTTTAGTTTGTTAATTGTACATCTGCCAGCATGGCAACCACCTCGTGCCATGCTTGTAGATTAACACCTATCATGGATCTCCTGAAAGTCAAATTTAACGGTGTCATAGACAACACCGTTCTTATAGATGCCCCTTTCCTCCTAACAATATTATATAGTGTAGGAAAGATCGATTTTAAAGGACGTGGTCTTATCCACGCATCCTCCCAAAATCGCACTTGAGAGCCATCACCTAGTTCGAACTTGTCTAATGAGAGGAACTCCCCTTGACCTTTATGAGGTCAGCCCAACATTGAGAATCCCCAGGCATTTGTTGAACCTGTGTTAGGGTCTTGTTTTTTAGATATTTATTCCTAAGTAATTGTTGCCAAACCCATCTCCATTCAGCAACTTAAAAAGCCATTTGCTTAGGAGACATTTATTTTGAACATCTAAATTTAAGACACCCAACCCCCCTTGATCTTTCGATGCACAAACTACCTCCCATTTAGTCAATCTGTATTTCTTCTTGTGTTCATCGCTCTGCCAAAAAAATCGAGATATGAAATAGTCTAACTTCTTCGGAACCCCTTTCGGTAATTCAAAAAAGGAAAGCATAAACATAGAAAGATAGCTTAAAATAGAGTTAAGCAAGACTAGCCTCCCTCCTACTTACAACATCTTACTTCTCCAATAGTTCAACCTCTTTTGAAAACGTTCTTCAATATGTTTCCAATCTTTATTCGTGAGCTTTCTATGATGCATAGGAATACCCAGGTACCTAAATGGAAACGAGCCCAAATCACACCCAAAAATTTGTGCATAATCGAATTGATTCGCTTTGACTCTCCATAGCAAAACAATTCACTCTTATGGAAATTGATCTTGAGCCCCGACAACTGCTCAAAAGCACAAAGCAAGAGCTTCATATTTTTGGCCCTCTCAAGGTCATTATCCATAAAAATGACAGTATCATGTGCATATTGGAGGATTGAAAGTCCCTCATCTACCAAATAGGAACAACCCCTCGGATATGGTCAGCCTCTTTAGCTCGTGAAATAAGGATAGCCATATCAACCACTATGTTAAATAGAATAGGAGATAACGGGTCCCCTTGCCACACTCCTTTCCTAGTTTGGAAATAATGGCCTATATTATCATTAACCTTTACTGCAACACTTCCTCTAGACATGACCTTCGAAATCCATTCACACCAAGTTGGTGAGAATCCTTTCATTCTGAGGACTTGTTGAATAAAAGGCCACTTTATCTTATCGTACACTTTTTTGAAGTCTAACTTTAAAATCACATCATCTTGTCTTTTCTTATGTAACTCATGAATAGTTTCATGCAACATTACAACTCCTTCCATAATGTAACGACCTGGGATAAAGGCCGATTGTGATGGTCCTATCAACTTGTCTGCCACTTTCAAAATTCTATTATTTAGCACTTTTGTAAAAATCTTAAAGCTCACGTTTAGCAAACAAATTGACCTGTATTGTTGTATTCTCGCCGCATCAGCAATATGAGGTAGCAAAGTAATAATCTCGAAGTTTAGGCTATGAATAGGCAGTCTCCTAGCATGGAATTCATAAAAAAGATTCATTAAGTCTGGCTTTACAACTTCCCAAAAAAATTGATAGAAATCCGCAGGAAAGCCATCCGGACCAGGTGCTTTGTTATGTTCCATGTCAAAAACTGTCAACATCTCATTCTCCTCTGACACTTGAGGTACGTCATGCCTCAAAGTCCCATCCATTGAGAAAGAATTTGGTGTATGAGGTCCAAACAATCCTATATAAAATTCAGTTATATAGTTATTCAGATTCGCATCTCCAACAACAATTCCCTCTTCTTATTCTAGCTGTATGATTTTTGTTTTCCTTTGTCTTCCATTTTCCACTAGGTGGAAGTACTTGGTATTATCATCCCCTTGCAATAAATTTGTTGTTTTCGATCGTTGTAGCCAATATATCTCATCTTCTCTCAACAACTTAGTTAATTGCCCTTTGAGATGATGTCTAAGATCCTCCTCTTGAGGTGACAACAAATAAATCTCAGCCTTTCTATCCAGCTCATCTATCTTAGACAACAAATTAGATTTATGTTTCTTGTTTTGAAAGGATATATTCCTAGACCAACCTCTAAGGAAACGTCTTAACCTTCTAATTTTATTTTGCCATTTCTCCATAGGTGACCTACCCCTATTGTCAGCTTCTCAAACCTCTTTAACCAACTCAAAAAAACCATCTCTAGTCAGCCACGCTAGCTCGAATTTAAAATTCCTAACGTTTCCTCAGTGAGATGGTTCCCTAGTATCTAATAAAAGAGGTGTATGATCTGAGATCTCTCGAGTAAGTGCTTGAATGGAAGTTAGTGAAAATTTTTGTTCCCAATCGGTTGTTACTAAAATCCGGTCTAACTTTTCATAAGTCGGAACCTCTGCATAATTTGCCCAAATTAAATGTATCTCCTACCCATCATCTCTAGCTCTCTTAAGTTCAAAGTCTCAATAATAGCATTAAATAAAAGTGGTCACTTATTGTTATACCTTGAATTGTTTTTTTCAAACGGTTCCTAATGATGTTGAAATCTCCCCCTACTATGAAGGGGAGATCCCCACAGCTAGTACAGGCTCGTACTAACTCTGATAAGAAGTGTTCTTTGTGCTCTTCCTGTGTGCTGCCCCATATACAGACAAAAGAGTCCAACGATAACCATCTGTTTTATTTTTAATGATAAACTTGATATGATAATCACCATCCTCAATACTCTGTACTTCAAAACAACCCTGATTTATACCCATCAGCATCCCCCGGACATGCCCCGAGGACACCTCCAATGTCAAATAAAATCAGCCCCCGCACAAAAGTTCTCTAAACACTGAGTCGAGAAGCTATTTTTATTGGTCTCTGAAAGCACTATAAAATCAAGGTTATTATCCCAGCCACATCATGCAAAAAAAGTATGTTAGCAACTTCTACGAAACGGCCAGCTTGAACCGGGAACAGCTAGGTCTGCAACACTAGCTAGGGGTTCATGGAACCAGGAGCTCTGCCAACGACCAAGACGCCCAAATCATACGCGACCGTGGTCCGGTCTTTGTCCGCAGCGTTCAGGGCGGCCAGCGGCGTGCCGGCGGCCAGCCCTTTGCCACAGGCCTCCATGGCGGCCACGGCGGCCTCGAGCTCCTCCCCGGCGTGCGTGAAGTCGCACTGGGTGAGCTCGTCCATCACGCCCACCATCTGGATGCGCGCCGTGGCGTAGCTGTCGATGCACTGCTGGTAGGACGCCCGCTGGTCGCCCGGGAGCGACCCGCCGGCGATCAGCTGCTCCGCCCTGCCCACCGTGTCGTCGTACGACCACTTGGCCAGTCTCGCCGCCAGGATCACGTACGCGGTCAGCTCCGCCACGTCCGGCCCGTGCTGCAGCGTCTCCTGGCAGACGTGGTACAGCTCCGCCGTCTCGCCCGTCTTGACACAAGCGTCCGTCCATCGCACCAGGGGGACGTTGCCGCAGGCGTCGCCGCCGGTGACGAACAAGAAGGCGGTGAGGACAAACATGGTGGCTGTTGTCTTCATGTTTCTCCTCTTGGTGAGTTGGTGGTCGTGGACAGGTGGGTGACTTTCTTCTTTTGTTTCTTGTTTTTACTTTGGTATATATAACATATACCAGTGGTGAAGCTAAGTGATTTTTCTGACGTAGTGAAGAAGCTAGGTTGTATTATACGAGGACACTACACTATATATAGGGCGACAGCATTTTTCAATTAGTAATTTAAGTATAGACAATTAAAATGTGGATCTAAGCATTAATAAGTTTATTTCTCCCAATAATCTCCAAAAAAAAACTTTATTTCTTCCAAGACAACAAAAAGCGGCCAATTAGTTTGTGATTATTTCCAGGATCTCAGAAATGTTTGTATTTTTTGTAGGTCATCATGGGTGCTTTCTCCATGGTTTATATCTTTCTTGACACTCATGTCAGTAGTGTAACTATATATAGAATGCGAATAAGAAAGAAGACCAAAACTAAACTTTATAGTCGGATTTGGTTTTATCACACTAGCTGTGCTTCATATCTTTCACTTTATTTGCTCATTTTTTCTTGTGCACTATTAACGAGGATTCACAAAATATAGACGTTGCTTGTATAGGTTTTACGGTGTGCGTCTTACAATGCAAAAAATCACTTCCTCCATTGCAAATTTAGATCATTATAGATTAGCTTTACCCTGATTCAAAGTTTCAAACTCCTCTAGTTTTGACAAAGTTTATAGAAAAATGCATATAAACACCTACAACATCAAACTAGACTTTTTAGGTACACGTGGATTATTTTCTTTTTGATAATGCATTTATTTGATATTGCAGGTATTAATATATTTTCTATAAAATGGTCAAGTTAGACAAGCTTGACTCGAGATAAAGTTAAAAACTTAAAATGACATACAATTTGAACTGGATGGATTAATAGGAAAGATTGTCGTTGCCTGTGGCCAGCAATTTGAATTCAAGAAAAGAAGATTTCTTGGTTGACAATGCAAGAATCCAAATGCTTATTACACTTTCTAAAAAAAGTAAACCAAGATTTCATTACATCCTTTACTAAATATAAGCACTTCTAACAATTCTAGGATCAATTATGTGAAAGAAAGAGGATTTGTGACTAAAGAAATGAGAAGAAGAGGAGGACGAGGACAAAAGTGTCAATTCCCCAACCATCTCTCTCCTCAAGTCATATGAATGAGTATATTATAATAACTCCAATGTTCTAGAGGGCAATGAATATTGTGGTTTGTGATTTCCAGGATCTCAAAATTATTTGTATTTTTATAGGTCATCAAGGGTGATTTATGTGTGGTGTATCTTTCTTGACACTCAAGTCAGTGTACCTATATATAGAGTGCCAATAAGAAAGAAGATCAAAACTCAACATATAGTGGGATTTGATTATATATGATCAGTGGTGAAACCAGGGGGATAGCAGTGGCCATGCCCCCCAACACAGGTGGAAAAGTTTTTAATACCTCTCTCTCTATATATTTTAATTCATGGAACAAAAAGGCATCAATTTCACTCATTTTATCATAATATTATGATTTTTTGTTATGAATACGGACAATTATATTGTAAAAACATAGAAAAAGTTATTGATACATACACGTGTATATATTTATCACACTTAGAGTCATCATGTTTCCTTTGCCACCCTTAATCAAAATTACTTTCCTTTTGAACTAACCGGTTGGAGGACAACCAGGGCTAAAGGCCAAGGCTCTTTAGTCCGTGTTGGTAACACCAACCGACGGTAATGTAGACCATTTAGTTCGGATTGGTGTTACCAACCAAGACTAAAGGTCTCCGACGCCCAAGAAACATGGATCCGAGACTCTGAGCCGAAGAGGTCTGTTGTCTAGCAGTGAGTATAAATTACATGGACTTCCTTGAGTATATATATTATAGAAACTAAAGAAACAAAAAGGTACGAGTAGAGCAGAATTGGATATGGGTATGTAGCAGATAGACAGATACTTATATATCACAAAAATGTTATGATTTGCATACTTTATAACCAACGACGTTCACATAACATAATATATCAACTCATCAGAATTAATGACAAAAATCGATCATTAACCACTCATTATCTTTTTGAAAAGCACAAGATCGTTCCCAATGCAACGCAAATTAAACCTGCTGCTGCTGTCTACTCTAGAGAGTCTACCTGCCAACAATGATAGCGCCTAGTAAATACGCGACCAAGGTCAAATCATGATCGGCAGAGACCTTGGCGAACAGCGGCAAGAACTGGTACGGCTGCAGTCCTTCCTGGCATGAACGGACGCCGGCCTCGGCGTCGATGTACTCCTTGCTGGCGAGCGAGAAGTCACAGGCGGACATGTGGTCCACGACGCCGGCCATCTTGCTCAGCGCCGCGCTGTAGTTCTCCTTGCAGCTGTCGATCGCCAACCGCTCAGCGCCGGGGAGGTTCCCGGCGCCCAGCATCGAGTCCAGCTCCGCCAAGGTTTCCTCGTACCTGCTCTTGGCCAGCTTCGTCGCGATGAGCGCGTACACGGTCACCTCGGCGGAGTCCGTCGCGGTCTGGAGCGTCTGCTGGCACAGCTGCTCCCACTTGTTCGTCTCCTTGCACGCCGCGGTCCATGTCATGGATGGGACATTGTCGCAGGCCTCGCCGCCGGCGAACAAGGCGGTGAGAGACACTGCTGCGAACACTGCTGCAGCGACGTAGGCCATCTTGGCTGCTTTTCTTTCTTTTTCTTTTGATCTTTTCTTTTGCTCAAGGCTTTGGGTTGATATTGAAACTATAAGCACTGAGGGACCTATATATATGTGTGTTATTCCAGGCTCTTCTGGAGTAGAAGGCAACAAAATTACTGATGGTGCGATTTCGCATGCATGATATGATATGACTACGAAAATGGTGCTTCTTGCCTTATACTATTTATTAAGAAAGGAAACAGTATTTGCCATTTCACAAGATATGATGCGTTTAGGCTTATGTCTTTCCTAGCTTGATCCTGATTATAAGTGCCGTTATAGAAGTATATCTTTTACGGCCCACATTTACATAGATCTAAAACATGATTGCACTCCACCAAGCATTGGATTTAGTTTGGTGAGGTCACTATGTCGAAGTCTGTATGTATATACTCATCAAAACAAGACAAGCGTCTATGACTTTGTACGTCCATCTCCCATTTCGTCAATCATCAACGGCCCTATAAATAAAGATTCATGTCTTCGATAGAATTGTAGCAAATAGGCAACTTATTATTTATGATTATTTCATGTATATAATGCGGTCATGAAAAGAAATTAATGCCTTTTCTAGCAAGGACATAAATGGCGTTATATGGAGTACTATATCTTGCTTCAGACCAAGTATAATTGACGCATTTTTTGCCTCACAAGATACGATTCCCACCTTCTCTAGCAGGATTATAAATGATACTTATGCATGTATTACATATACCGTTGTTCAGGTGGATCAAGCACTGCTGGTTAATTTTTGGGGAAATAAAGCGTGCATCATTGTTGTTCACAATATTAGCGGTTTTGCTAAGGCCACCGTCAGTATAAATCCAAGGATCTACGCCGGTGTTGGCATTAAGAAAACCGTCTAGCAGTTGTCCTAAGTCTACATGATGATGGCGGACCAAGAATTTTATAAAAGGGTGCGGCACATAAAAAAATTGTACACACAACTTGATAATTTTATTTAGCAATTCGTCAGAAAAACATAAATCTTGTTCCGTGGTTCTGTATAGAAGTACTCAATAACATAATAAGTCATAAATTCAACAACTAAGTTCAAAATTTGCACATATTACAACAGAAATAGTCCAATCACTATTCTATTAGTTCGAAATATGCATAAAAGGAGCTTGCAACTACTTGTCTAGCCTATGATTATATCACAGTGTTTATGGATCAATTTTAACTTCAGACGACAAGTTTTGGAGTGGAGACTTAGTTGCAAAAATAAAGGACAAAATATGTTATTTGTACTTGTTATAATATCCGCAGGGCACAAAAATTGAAAAATAAAAACTAAACAAACTGAGGTCTCATGGGACAAAACAAGAGGGTATATAAAATAAGAAAAGTAAAGGATGAAGTATATTATCTCTAGTTAATTTATTCAAAGAGAACCAAAAAATGAAAATTTAAAACGGCATTGTACATAGCTATTGATAAGTGATAATGAAACGATGACATGATATCGCTTTTATCTGCCATTCTATTTGTAGAGGCGGCTCAATCAGCAGCCGCCTTTACAAATGCTTCTTCAGAGGCGGTTTATTTCGGGAGCCACTACAAAGGCTGCGCTAAAAAGCCCCAGTTGCTACAAATCGGTTATGTAGTAGTGATGGGAATTCTAAAAGGTACGTGTAGAAACAGAAATGTATATGGGTATATACTAATACTATATAAATATATAGCAGAAAGACAGGTACTCATATATCACAAAATGTTTTGGTTTGCATACTTATAAAGAGCAACGACGTTCACATAACATTTTTTGAGGGCAAACAGGAGGGGTTTGACCCCCAACTGTGCTTTTGTTGCAAACTTCAAACAAAATTGTTCCAAGTACAGGGATCAGACGTTCACATAACATAATATAGTAACTCATCAGAATTAATGACAAAAACCGATCATGAACCACTCGTTATCTTTTTGAAAAGCACAAGATCGTCCGCAAAACAATGCAACTTAAAACTGCTGCTGCTGTCTACTCTAGAGAGTCTACCAGCCAAGAAAGTTAGCGCCTAGTAAATACGCGACTATGGTCAACTCATGATCCTTAGAGACCTTGGCGAACAACGGCCAGCTTTGGTACTGGTTCGGCAGGAACGGACGCCGACCTCGGCGTCGATGTACTCCTGCCTGGCGAGTGAGAAGTCGCAGGCGAACATCTGGTCCGAGACACCGGCCATGAGGCTTCGCGCCGAGCCGTACTTCACCTTGCAGTTGTCCAACAACGCCGCCCGCGACTCAGCGGGGGCGTTCCCGGGCCGCAGCAACGTGTCCACCTCCGACAAGGTGTTCTCGTACCTGAGCTTGGCCGGCCTCCACTACCGGAAACAGAAGGTAAGCCGAGTGCAATATGGTTTGCCGAGTGCAATCTATCGGGCACTTGGCAAACAAGCTCTTTGCCGAGTGCTGAAAAAAAAACACTCTGCAAACGAGGCAAAAAACACTCGGCAAAATTTGACATTTCGCAAACTAGAAAAAAAACACTCGGTAAAACTAGGCACTCGGCAAAGAAATATGTTTGCCGAGTGTAATTGTCTGGCACTCGGCAAAGAAATATGTTTGCCGAGTGTAATTATTTTATACTCGGCAAATAATTTCATTTTTTTCTCAAATGACCTTGAAACTTTTTCTACTCTCCACATACAACATGTCGTATTCCATGTTAAAATTTGGTATATTTGTGGATCTGTATGCTATATTTAATTAATTTATTGCATTTTAAAGATTTTTTTGGTATATGTCAAATTTGAACTGCAAGTGATTCAAATAATAGAATAAAATGAGTAGAAAAATGATATTCATGTTATTGAGTCCAATGTGAGGCCTTTCCCGGGAAATAAAAAGAAATTTCGAACATCTTGTTCAAGAAACACGACCACTAACGTGTGGCCGAATGATTTTTAAATTCTAAAAAAATGAAACGAAGTCTGAAAATTATGAGATTTGTTATGATGTGATGATATCATACGTGGTGGCTGTGGTAAAAAAATTGAGAAGGTTTCGCATAATTTGTCACGTATGACGTTTACAAAACGAAGCATCTCAGAAGAAGAATTGTAGCGTTGAGAAGGAATCGGTAAGATTTGGAGTCAAAGTGACGGTCGAATTGGGGTTTAACTTCAAAACTTTTTGTATAGGCAATAGAGAACATAGATTGTTTCATGGGAAATTTTGGTAATTTTTTGTATCCATTTGATAATTTTAATTTATTAAGTGCAATTATAGAAATTTTAATTGATATAAATTAAATTTGAACTGTAACTGCATAAAATAATGGAATCATATTCGTGGAAAAATCATATATATATTGTTGACTATATTTGACAAGGTATTTTCAAAATATATCGAACAAAAAAGGAAAAACATGTTGTGGAAAACAAGAAAATAAAAAAATAACTAATATATTTGCCGAGTGTCCAAAACCCTATACACTCGGCAAAGATAAATTTGCCGAGTGCCGTGATCTGACACTCGGCAAAAATAACTAATATCCTCCGCCGCCCCCTCCCCTCCCTTTCTCTCTCTCCCTTATCTCTTCTAGAGAACATGCATACAGGGAAAGGAGAGGAGGCGTCGACCTCCTGGGTTGGCTCAGGCGGGCCCGCACCCGCGCCCCAGTGCTCACCGGCGGTGGTCTTGTGGCCGGGGGCCGGTAGAAGCGGCGGCGGGGCCAGGTGCGCCCGTACGCGAGCGTCCTGCCGGGCAGCGGGGTGCCCGCCCGCACGTGTGCCTAGGCGAGGCGGCTGTGGCCAGCCCGGTTGCACCCGCGGCCTGCTGGGCCAGCGCGGCGGCGGCAGCCGGCCGGCTGGGACTCGGAACTACCGGATCTAGCTTTGCGTGCTCGTTAGCAGACACGGTGGGTGCTTTGTGCTCTCGGTGGCTCGCGGAGCAGGACGGGGATCTGGCGTGGTCGCCGGCGTCCAGCACGTCGTACGACGTGACGAGCTTCCACAAGCTGAGCTGCGGCCGACGAGTAGAAAGCAGGTGGACTAGGCGGCGGCTGCGGCGGTTACCAACACCACCACCGCCAACAGCAGAGACAGCGGCAACAGCGACGGCGGCGGGTGGCTCGGCGACCACGAGGTCCGCACGGAGGAGGAGACGCTGGCCAGCATCCGGCACAAGAACATGGTGAAGCTTTACTGCTGCTACTATAGCGCCGACTGCAACCTGCTGGTGTACGAGTACATGCCCAACGGCAACCTGTGGGAGGCGCTGCATGGCTGCTACCTGCTGCTGGACAATGGTGGCAGCGGCGGCCTGTCCGTGGACGATGGTGGCAGCAGGCGGCGTGGTGGCGGCAGCGACGGGGTGAGCTGCGGGCGGGCGGCGACGCAGATGAGTTGCGTGCGGGGTGGGGGGCTGTTTTTATATTTTTCAAATTTTATTTTACCGAGTGTCGGTTTTAGCACTCGGCAACGTCTTTGCCGAGTCCTCGACAAAAAACACTTGATAAAGACAGCTTTGCCGAGTCTTTGTTTGCCGAGTGCCGTTTGCCGAGTGCAACACTCAGCAAAGGCTTTGCCGAGTGTGTTTTTTTTGCCTTCGCCGTGTGCCGTGGGAACACGACAAACCTGGGCATTCCGGTAGTGCTCGTCGCGATGAGCTCGTACACGGTCACCTCTGCGGTGTTTGGTGCGGTACCCTAGAGCGTCCGCTAGCACTTTCTCCCACCTGTCCGTCTGCTGGCACGCCACGGTCCATGTCATGGAGGCGACGTTGTTGCAGGCCTCGCCGCCGGCGAACAAGGCGGTGAGAGACACTACTGCGAACCAATGTTTTAAATAGCCGGTTAAGGCATTTAGCTTTCTACGTCCCAAAGCAGGCTATAGCCAACTATAGCGGGCTATAGCGGCAGCTAGGAGCTAACTTGTACATGAAAAAACTTAGCTAAATCTTTCTTAAACAGCTATAGCCGGATATAGCAGAAGCTATAGCCAGAGATTTAAAACCTTGCTGCGAACACTGCTGCA